TTTGTGCTAAGCTAGGCTAACCATTTACCTCTGCTTTCAGTCTTTGTGCTAAGCTAGGCTAACCATGCCTCTTTTCACAAAATAAAACCAATGTGTGTGTGTTTGAGGAAGCACACACACTCTGGACATTGTTGTATTTCTGTGTGTTGGATTGTTTCCTGTGTGTGCGTGTGTGTGTGTGCGCGTGCGTGCATGTGTGTGTGTGTGTGTGTGTGTGTTGGACCGTGTTCTGTGAGGTCAGCGGTTGTCGTGGGAAACAGACCCAGTGTGTCGCTGCCAGCTGACGGAGCTCTCTGATTGGCTGCTCTGTTCAGCTTTGGGTTTCTCTGTGAAACACTCCAAGGCTGCGATCGGCTGCTCCACACCAACACTGATCACAATAATCAGCGAGCTGATGAATAATATGATGAAGCTCAGCCTCCCTCTGAGCTGTAATACCTCAGGGAGCTCCAGCAGAGGCCTCCACCTCCCTGTCATCATCTTCATCACCCTCCTCCTCCTCCTCCTCTTCCCTCTGCTGTCTTTCAGAGAACAAACCTTCATTCACAATCTGTCTGTTGGTTCGACACACTTCTTTTATCTCTTTACTTCCATTTTTTTTTGCTCATTTCATCATTTCTTTCCTTCTTTCCTTCTTTTCTTCTACCTTCTACTTACCTTTCTTTCATTCCTTAGCTTTCCTTCCTTCCACCGACCTTCTTTCTTTTTCCTTTTTAATTCTTTCTTTCTTCCTTCTTTAGTCCTTTTTTCCTCTCCTTCCTTAACCCTCCTTCTTTCCTTTCTTTCCTTCTGTCCTGCCTTTCCTTTTATCCTTCCCATTCCTTCTTTCAATTCTTCCTCCCCCTTTCTTTCTCTCTATCTTCCTTTTCCTTCCTTCCTTCCTCCTCTCCTTTATGTCTTTATTCCCTACTTCTTTCTTTCTTTCTCTCTATCTTCCCTGTCCTTCCTTCCTTCCTTGATTCCTTCCTTCCTTGATTCCTTCCTTCCTTCCTTCCTTCCTTCCTTCCTTCCTTCCTTCCCATCCTGCAGGATAAACCCCTGATGTCACTCTGCAGTATTCATGAAGAGATGGATGTGTGTCTGTAATAACACAGAATAAGTAATAGTTGGTGATTCTCTGGCGTTAGGTTCACACAGTGCAGCTGGAGCGTCACTGAGGAGGGCTGTTGGTGTTTCCAGTAGTGTTTTGTACCTGAATCCTAACGCTTCCTTTCCGTCTGCTCTCAGGAGGTTCTGCTGAAGCGAGCAGCCGACCTGGTGGAAGCTCTGTATGGGATGCCTCACAACAACCAGGTGAGGATGCTGTTGGCATCAGTACAAAGGCAGAACCTCTCCTGCTCTGACGACTACACGGTGAATGTCAGGACAGAAAAGCTCCCCAGTAATCAGAGTCATTCAGTATAAAATCAACCAAACATGAATACATTTCTCAGCTGATTCTTTATCTTCAGAAACTTTAGTATATTTAATGAAGCAGAGTTTTACGTTCATCCTGAGAATGTCATGTGTCTATCTGAGGAAGTTCTGAGGCTCAGAAATGATGGAAAACGTCCATTAAAGTGATCAATCTGGACCGTCTGTGGACTTCAAGGACCTGGAACTCTGGAATATTCACAGTCTGAAGTTAGAACTCTGCTTCAATAAATAAAGTTACTGAATTCTTTGATAAGGAATCAACTGATTCTGGGGTCAGGATGCTTTTTAGTGGATTAAATCTGCAGCAGAGGTGACAGATGTGAAGTTAGCTCCACCCAAAAAGACATCACATTCATGGTAAACATCACTCTGACCCATTCTGTGGTTCTGTCGGATCAGGAGATCATCCTGAAGCGAGCGGCCGACCTCACCGAGGCTCTCTACAGCGTCCCTCGCAGCCACAACCAGCTGCCGTCGCTCACCGGCTCGGCCGCCCATTCGGGGATGATGGGAGTGAACTCGTTCAGCAGCCAGCTCGCCGTCAACATCTCCGAGGCCTCGCAGGCGGACCAAGGTGAGAACCACCCGTGATCCTGTGCAGTGTCCCAACAGATCAAAGAGCCCAGAACTTGGGCTGCTCTGGGCTCATTTAGCCTCACAAACCAGGCACCAGGAGAAACTTTAAACTGCAATATTCAAAAGGTCAGAAACTAAACTGTTTCAAAGGTCTGAAAATCCTCATGAGCCAAAGTTTCAGTGTCATTTAGGAAACAAGGCTCCATAGTTTTTAGATAAACTGAAATGATCAGGATTTAAATATCGTAAATATTCTTCGACTCCATCTGCTCATCAAGTGGCCCCGCCCAGGGACCCGGACCTCAGTTTGAGAAGCTGCAGCAGGTTTTAATGGAGACGAGTGCAAATAATCTCACCGCCCTGAAACACTGTTTATTTATAATAAAAACAGCTGAATAAGATTTAAGCAGCCAGAGTCCATTTAGGTTGTTGCAGATTAAGACGAGTGCTGAATTTGACGTCTGTGTTTTTGTGCTGCTTCATGTTTACCACGGAGTCCAAGAATAAACGTCTGACTAGAGTTCTTTAATGTCACATATTTGTAGCTGCATTTGTCTGATGCAGACGTCGACTTGCGTTAAAGAGCAACTCGTTAATGTGACAACAAAAAAGTGCAATAATGTGCATATTTAATGACTTTTATTTATGAATTACACGTTTCTGAAAACAAATTTAATTCTTTATTCCTGACAGTTTGGTGAAGACCTTTTGAACATTTTGCAAATCTTCTTGAAAACTCGATAAACAGGTTTCTGAACTCTTAGGGTTATAAATGTGTTCTCAAGGCGCCGCTACAGCTCACCTGGTTGAGCCGGCGTCCCACCTGCCGGTGCTACAGTCAGCTCATGAACCTTTGTTTGCCACGTTCTTCTCCCCCATTGTCCTCTCTCTCTCTCTGGCAACTGTACTATTGAATAAAGGCCAAAAAAATAACTTAAAAAAAACAAAGAAATGTGGTCTTAGTCTTTTAGAAAAACAGGTTTTTATTTTTCTCAAATCAGGAGGAAACAATGCATTTGTCTGGGACTATTTTCAGCGGCGGACTGATCCATGTTCGGTGCTCGATTCTCAAAAAACTGCAGTAGCTGTTTAAAATCTGTTTTTATCAATTACAAGAACAGCAGCAGTTCATACTGACATGTCATTCTCCATGTTTATCTTGTATAACAATTCATGTGTCTCTTGTTGGGGACTATTTTCTGTGGCGGACTGATCCACGCTGAGCACTGCAGCAGTCGGTGTGTGTGCAGCAAGTCAGGACGGAGCTCGGTGTGTGCTCGCTGATGTGTTTTTAATCGTTTCTGGAACAGAACAGACACATCGCTGCGCTCTGAGGCCGGTTCGCAGATGAGATTACTTTCCTTTCAGCGCTCCGGTTCTGCTTCTGTCACGGACGCTCGGGGAAACGTGCAGCTCGTGAACACGCGTCGACGGGAAGCAGATCGAGCTGCTTTAACTCCCCGGACGCCTCCAGCCCAAACCCAGAACCTCCACCGGCTGCTTTTCCCATCGGCCTGCAGCGAACACCTTTCAGGAATCCATGAGGTCATGGGAAAGCAGGCAGCTGAAAATTCATAACCGTGTAGTTTATGTGCTCGGAAACATTACACCGAGGACGTGATGGCTGTCCTCCTGTTGTTCCGGACTAGAAAATGTCTCCTTGTGCCCCTCACAATTACCTGCCATGATTAAAACATTAATAAAAACAGCGGCTCCTGAGCCCAGGCCTGATCAGGAGGACGGGGCGGCTAATTTACGGCGCTAATTCACAGCGGCTCGGCCTGCTGCAGGATTCTTCCTCGACTTCCTCCCTCTGCAGAGTTTACAGGCCTTCAAGGGCCAATAGACGCCCAGAATACTCCGACAGTCTTGTGTTTTTTAATATTTGACTCACTTGAACTCCAGTCTTAACCCTGCAGCTGCTGCTTCGTTCCCGTTTCTACATGATTGTATGGATTCTTTACCTTCAGTTATTTACGACCCAAAACTAAGTTCTGGAAAATATTTTGTCTGAATTTGGACAATTTCATGTTTTCCTGTCAAGCCTTTTTAAGGGTTCACGATCTCCAGAACGACTCAAATGTGACGTAAAATGAAAAATGAGTGGTCCTTGAAAATGGAGGAAAGTGCAAAATAACCCAATACTGGTGGTGTTGTGGCTCCACAAAGTTCTTGTAAGTGTATATATATATATATGGATGCATCCATATTTCCTACAAAAAACTGTCTGTGTTTAACATTTCACCAACTTCTGAGGCATCGGTTCAATTCAATGTGGGCCAAACATGATGAGACAAGGTTCCAGTGTTCAGATTTTTAATTTGTCCGTTTTGCCGTGAAACTGAGACAAACTGCTGCAGATTCAACTCTGCTATAAATATAAACCCTACGTTATGAGAACTCCTGTTTTCCTGCAAAAAAACAAAATGAAAACGACGTAATGTGATGGTTACACGCAGAAGTGCATTTCCTTCACCGCAGGAGAAATAATTGGAGATGTTTTCTCACATGTTTGACTTCTGGGTCTTGTAATTTAGACTTAGTACGTCATTGTTAGGACGTCCGAATCTGTAATTACAAAGTCCAGAAGTTATAGTTGTTTGTACAAACCCAAGAAGAGAAGAAGGATTTACAGTCTGGACAACACGACTCAACGGGACGCAGGAGGAGGAGAGATGGTCCAGTTCTGAACAAACATGTCAGAGTTAAAGCTTTAACACAAAGAGTTGAGGATCCCAGAAGATGTGAGGGTTTCTCAGGTGGAATCACAACATCTAGAAAAGAGAACGACTTCTCCATCAAAGTCCACAAACAAAATAAAGACAGACAAGACAGCAAATCAGAAACACAACTTTGAAAGGGTTCAAATACACAAGATAAAGAACGACATACAAAAAAGGAGCTCAAACACAAGAAAGAGCTCAAACTGAGCGCACAGCAGAATACATAAGATGTAAAATGTGTAAACATCATTTGAAATATGCAAGAAAGAGCATAAATACAAAATAGAGCACAGAAAGAGCTCAAACATGGGAAAAAATAGCTTAGTATAAATATGCAAGAACCAGGTTAAAAAGTACACAGAAGAGTTCAAATATGCAGGAAAGGGTTAAACGAAATAGCCCAATTCTGAAATACACAAGAAAAAAACGCTTTATCACACGAGCGTGAGTTAAATTATACAAGAAAGAGCTCAAATGTGTAAAAGTTAAAATACAAAACTACATGAAAACAGAGGTTCAGATGCACAAGAAAAGGTTAGAAATGCAAGAAAGAGATTAAATGTGCAAAAAGGAGTTCAAAGATTTCAAGACTCAGGAAAAATATGTGAGAAAGCACAAAAGAAAAAGAGCAAAAGTCAAAATATAGAAGGACAAAGCCTCAATACGTTCACGAGTTAAAGTTCCAAATAGAATGAACGAGTCAGGAAACATCTCTTGTCCTTCTGACACCGAGAAGCAAAGAAAACTCTGTTTGTTCGGGCAGTCGGCCATCTTCAGACCTGTTTAAAGGAAACAAACGTGGACCTGCGGGGAGTTCCTCTGAGTCTGACAGTTTACTGAAACCAAACTGTCAACCAGCTAATCAGCTCGCAGCGAGACTCTGAACACATGTTTCCAGTTGAGGCGGCTGCGAGGCTGAAGGATGTGAGTTCTTCCCACGTCACTGCTGCTGCCGCTGAGCTCCAGCAGCAGCACGCTGACGCCGAGCTGCAGCGCTCCTCCACATGTGTTTCCCATCGCCGGCCTCCTCCATCATCCTGCTGGGAATTCCCACACCAGGAAGTTTGGGGGGAGGCCGCGATGTGCTGCTTGGCGCTCCTCGGCCCGGCTCGGCCCAGAGTCGGTGGGAACCAGGCCGCCTCGGGAAGGAGTCAGAGGTCAGGCGGAGCGCTGCGGGGAACGTCGGTGTTCGATGCATTTAATGCGATGAGGGTTGATCAGAGGGAGTGAGGGGGGGAGGGGGGAGGTGAGACGGGCGCGATGATGTCACTGCTGAGGTCACAGCGAGGAGGAAACACAGAGAGCTGCTCCAACATTTAACATCTGACATCAGTCTGACTCGGTTATCCAGAGGTTTCATTCCACATGTTTATAATGTCCAAGCAGATACAGATCTGAAGAACCAACACACCAGAGCTCAGGTCTGAATGTTGTTGATTCATGTCCAGCAACCTTCAACTAATTATGCATTTTGTAAGAAAAAACAAAATCTTAATCTTATCACTTAAAAATTTGCTCCTGCATTGATCAGATTCTCTAAAAAAAAAAAAAACCTTCCTGAAGTAACTCAGCTGTGACCAACAGTCACATGATCATAATTCAAACAGTCGAGCTGCAGGCAGTGTTCACACAAAGCCGAACCACATCCTAATCAGTCAATTCAGTTTTATTTGTATAGCACATATTTACAACAGGTCATCTCATAGCGCTTAACAAAGGCAGAAACACCCAACAGTCCAAAACATTTGGATTCTCTATAAGCTTCAGCAGTCCGCCACAGTGGGAAGGAACCAAAAACCCCCACAGGGGCAAAAAACAAACCTCCGACAGAACCAGGCTCAGGGAGGGACGGCCATCTGCCTCCACCTGTTGGGTGGATGTAGGAGGAATTATAAAATTAAGTGTACAGTTAAACAAGTTCTTAGACGTTATTGTCCTTTTGTTCCTCCATTTCAAATGGACCAATGAAATCATGTTTTTACTGTCAGATCAGGTTCGTTTGTAACATGTTTCTAATCAAACACCCGACGTCCTCATCAGGACAAACAACCACATCTCAGCTGAACCACGATGCCTGATTAAAATCACTGTGTCCTATTTAGGGATGTCCCATAGTAGCTTTTTGCTAATATCCAATATGCCAATATTGTCCAACTCTCAATTTCTGATTTGACATCAGCCGGTACAGATACATGTTTGTTCCTGCAGCCACACTTGTTTACACGCTTCACAGTTTCATGTCGTCATCATTTGCACGTCGGTAAATCCAGGCATTATTTTATCGGTTTTCATTAGAGGCAAAAAAAACCAAAAACGATCGCAATATTTACAGATATTACATTTTTATGCCAATATCAGCCCTCGTCCTATTCAAAGAAATGTCTTAACGAAACCGTTTGCAGTCACCAAATTCGATAGAAAACTAAAAGCTCTTTGGCACAGTTTTGAGGCCATTAGTTACTCAGCTGTGACCAGCAGTCACATGACAATTGCAGGTACCGTTTCCACGGAGCAGCATTACCCCGACAACTAAACTGTTCATTTTCTACCAGATGAGGTTTGTTTTTAATGTGTCACAAACACGTTTCATCACATTTCTTTGGCCGTCTTTATATTGCTCTGCTGTCACTCCCTGTCAGCCAGCCAGCCACCTGGTTTGACTCTATATAGTGTATTTCATGACTTTATCACCTGTTTTGTATTTAAAATCCTACAAAATCATGAAGTTATGATCTTAATATGTTGCATAAGTCGTCGCTGAAACGAGTGGAGTAAAAAGAACAATGTTTACCTGTGAGGGAGCACTAACGACTCACAAAACGAAGGGGAGGAGCAACAAACCTCCAATTGAAACCCAAACTCAGGTGTTAATGGCTCCTTCAGGATATCAGTATGTGGAACTCCCAACTAGTCAGTCAGAGCTGATGAAGGTGGAGTGTCTTCAAGGAACTCAAGCAAGTCCAGTTAATCTACCAGAACAACCAGGACCTGGACGACTGAGGATCTTCACAGACAATATTTAGCTGTGAATGTGGAGTTCAAGTATAAAGTGGAACAAAACTTCCTTATGTGTTAAAATATTTGGTAAAACATGAATAAACTGAAGGAGGTGAACTCTGTTTCTTCATTTGTCTGAATATTCATTCATTTTTAGGGAAACCATTGTCTTGGACCGAACTTGTTTTGATGTCGTAAACCTCCAGCTGTGGAGATATTGTGTCTGAATCCGTCCTGTTTGGTCCTCAGGTTATTCCCGTAACTCGAACAGCGTGTCTCCTCGCGGCTACGTTCCAAGCTCCACGCCTCAGCAGTCCAACTACAACACCATCACGTCCACCATGAACGGCTACGGGGCGGCGGGGATGACCAACCTGGGCGTACCTGGATCCCCCAGCTTCCTCAACGGCTCCACCGCCAACTCTGCTTACGCAAGTGAGTGCTCTCAGGAAGTAGATAAGAACCAAACCTCATCCATCTGAGAGGCAGCTAACGGGAGGAGTCCCTCCTGAGCGTCCAAGAGTGGCTGAAATCTGACCAATCAAATCCTCCGAAACACACCTGCGCTGTCCCTCAGGTGTTGGTGAACCTGAAGCACTGAAAGGAGATGAAGTGCGAGTTAAAGAACAGAGGAAGCTTAAATGTCAGAGATAAAGAAATGGTTGTTGTCAGGCGAAGTTGTCGCTCTGCATTCAAAGTTTCAGGTGAAGTGTGTCCACTGAAAGGAGTCGAAGTGGCAGTGGAGGTGCAAGTGATGAAGTTACCGCGGTTAAAGAAAGAAGTGTGAGTTGATGCAGCTGAGTAAATGCTTGGATGTTAGTCATGAAAGACACTGATATCTTTGACGAAGTGTCAGTTGAAGCGTGAGCACTGAAAGGAGTTGAAGCAGCAGTCAAAATACTACAGCTCTCAGTTGGTTAAAATTTAGGCAATAAAGTAGCAGCAGTTGAAGGTTTATTTCTACATTTAGCTTCAGTTTCAGCTAAAATCTTGATACTGACAGAAGTTGAAGTGTGAGTTGACGAGCTGAACATGTAACGCTTAGATATGTGTGACAAAAGAAGTCGACATGCTTGATGTAGTTTATGCATTTGAAGTTTTAGTTAAAAGGGTGTGCACTGAAAGGAGTTGAAGTGACAGTCAAGGTGCAAGTGATGAAGTTACAGTGGTTAAAGAAAGAAGTTAAAGTGTGAGTTGATGCAACTAAGTGTATGCTTAGATGTTAGTCATGAAAGAAACTGATGTCTTTGACGAAGTGTCAGTTGAAGTGTGAGCACTGAAAGGAGTTGAAGTGAAGGTATAAGTGATGATGTTACAGCAGTTAAAGGTTTATCACCACATTTAGCTGAAGTTTCTGGGAACGTCTTGGTAGCGACATAAAAAGAAGTTTGCAGGACGCATAAATGTAATACAGGAAGTTGATATATCCGTTGTAGTTAAAGTGTTAGAGCTGAAAGGAGTTGAAGCGGCAGCCGGGCTTGTGCAGGGCTTGGTAAGGGTTAGAGCCGTCATTCTGTTATTATTTTTAGGATATTTTCAAGATGTTTTATTAATATTTTTGAGTATTTTTTAGATATATATGAACTAAAATGCATTGCTGATCTATGTAGTCTATACCTGATGACAGAACTGGACTTGAAGTGTGTGTTCAGTAGGAAAACTATAACAGATCGACTGCTATGAAATATGAAACAACTAATTTAGTCGTCTTAAGTAGTGTTACTGCAGCAGGACAAACGTCTGCAGGAATGTAAATATCAGAACACGGTGAGACTGACTGATGTGGAGTCGATGCAGCGCTGAGCCATAGTAACAGAGTAACGGTGGAGCTGCAGGAGCTGCTGAGGTGTTCGCTGTTGTTCTTGAAACTTCCCGCTCGGCTCTGATCGAGTTGCCTGGAGTTGAGCTGCAGCTTGGAAGGCGCAGGTGTGTTTTGGAGGCCGGTAAAGTCTAAACTCGCCCGCGGGGAGCGCTCCATTGTTTTGGCTCGTGTTTCAAAGAGCCTCGGCGAGTCTCAGCGAGACTCGTTTAGAGGCGGCGAGCTCGGGCTGCGTCTCCGTGCCAGGTGATGCTGTCGTCCCTGGCGACCAAACAAAAGGTGGGCTCGCATCTCGCCTGGCTGAGCTTCAGCTTCCCGCCGCCGAGGCTCTCAATGTTTGTGTGTCGACTGAACGCCATTGTTCATCTCCTCCCTCCTCCTCTAACAGTCCCCCGTCCATCCTCACCCTCCTCCCTGCCTCCCCCCTCCTCCTCCTCCTCCACTAACCCCACTAACATCCTCACCGCATCCTTCATGCATTCACGCATTCACGCTTTGGGCCGAATCCATTAATATCAGCTGGAAAAACAAGAGCAAGTAGCCCAGAGAGGAAACGTGAGGAGCAGGAAGCAGCGATCCAGGACAGACTGATAGTTGTTGGCACGGAGCGATAAATCACATTTACATTCCCCCGTTTCATTTTACAGTTCCATTTTCAAATGCTGTCCTTGAATCATTTACAGAAACACTGTGGTCCATAAAGTCTGCGCAAGCTCTTAAAGGAGCAACGTTTCAGGACAGATCCTGTCACAGAGCCACATGACTTAGCTTAGCTTAGCACGAACACTGGAAACAAAGGGAAACTGCTAGCATGGGTTCACAGATACACCCGGTGTCACTTCTGAAGCTCGCAGCTCGATATCTGGCATCATGTCTGCACGAACACAGACGTAGAAATCTCAGTTTGTGGTTTGAGGAAGAAACTTTCCATCATATTAGTAAGTTGGTTGTTGGATTTTTTAAGTTCACTTCTGCATCTAGAGGCAGAATCTCATCTCGGGCCTTTTATAATGGAAGTTTGACAAAATAAGAAAACTCCACCTGCTGAAGACGACGATGTTTGACTGAAAGCTCCTGCTGGGCAGTTTAGTGTCGTTTTTAAAAATGCGTTTATTTGTTTTTCATTCGTCATTTCCAGGGTTCAGACTGAATTTATTTGTATTCTCTGTAAATTTTGATTGAAAACACAAAAAAACAACTTACCAAAAAAAGCCAGTTTTCAAAACAAAAGTCAAAAACATAACCACAAACTCAAAGACAACGAAAAAAACTTTCTACATATTTTAACAGTTTTTTATTTTGTATTTGCTACGCGGCCGTTCCAACTTTGGACATTAAGTTATTTGTATTTTTAGTGACTTTTGATACAAAACTCAGTAACTAACTTCTAGTCCAGTTTTCAAAATATAAGGAAAAAATAATGCTAATTTGTCTCTGAACATTTAAGATGAAAAAAACTCTGAAAAATATGCAAATGTGTAAATATCAACAACCAACTTACTTCAAAAACCAAAATGTAACGTTAAAGATTCTCCTGAAAACCGCACAAACGGAGGTTTTTACATTTTTCTTTGTGCGAAGATGATGCGAAACATTGACCTGTGAGCATTAGCGGTGATGCTAGCTGCGTTTATGAGCCATGCTAGCGGTCTCATCATGCTATGCTAAGCTAACACTCACAGACGCCGAGTGTTTCTCCTGAAATGTTGAACGAAGGACGAAAGACGACGGGTTTATGGATTAACAAACCTCAGTATTAGACAACC